ACGGAATAAATATTTCATAAATTTTCCGTTTATTTTCACAGCCAAACAAAAGTCGTTGCAATGGTATCAAGTCAAAGCCCGGGGCCCCTGAACGCCCCATGCGCTCGGTATCAAGTCAAAGCCCGGGGCCCCTGAACGCCCCATGCGCTCGGTTCACTGAGAGCAGATTCAGCTTCTCCTCAACCTGCAGCGCTGAAAACAAGCAGGTGAAAAAGCGCAGAACCAAATAAGCAGCAAAGCCACCAACATGCTGCATGCAGACTCTGCAGCTGCAGGATGGCTGCAAACATCCGAGCTGAGAGGCTGCAGCTGCTGCAGCTTCAGCTGCAGCTTCAGCTGCGAGTTTCAGTTTAGATTCAAGATGAAAAATATTTTCTGCTCATATCAGAAAATATTTTCTGCCCTTTTCACTCACTGGTTTGATTTTAGACATTTATTTTCAGGATTATTGCTAAACCGAGTTTTATAAGGTGGATACAGAATACAAAGAAAATATTTAAGCTCGATGCGAAATATTGTTGTTAATGTTATTATTTTTATTATTATTATTATTATTATTATTATTATTATTATTATTATTATTATTATTATTATTATTATTATTACAGTTTAGGTAATTCTTTTCGTCATAAAAAATGTAAACCCAATTTCCTAAAGTATTTATCTGTTTATATAATATTTATTGCCTCTATATAAATTGGTGAATTTGAAGGAATTACTGCCTTTTCCGGAAAAATATTAGAAACTGAATATTAGGGTTGTTGTTTTTTCATTATTGTTTTTTGCAGAGGAAAAAATGATGATTTTAGGATAATAATCAGAGCCATGAAGGAAGCGACAGCGTTAATAGCAAGATTAGATCAGGACACAAACAGAAAAGGTCTTCTGCTCACACCGCGAAATCATTTTCATTATTATTATTCATTAATTATTATAAAAGAAACTGATTTGTTTAAAAAAAAAATCTGAGGTAATATTAGAAATAAAGGAAGTAGGGAGGAGCAGACGAATCAGGAAATAAATCAGAAAAATGCTGCTGATGACAATAAGTTGCAGACAGGAAAAAAGCTCCAATCAGCAAGAAATGTTCCCAATTTAACATCAACACCCTGAAAATGGGATCAATCTGAAAGTTTGGGATAAATCCTGTATAAATAAAGAAACAGACGCTTTAAATCAGCCATGAAGTCTGTTTCTAAAGACTTCCGGAGGCTTTTAACAAAGAGGAGGATTGATGTGCAACAACTCGGCCTGGAGCAAATATCTGCGGGAATGATCCTTCACAAAACCAGTCAGACAAAACTGGCATTTCATCACTAAAACAAACCCAACTCCATGTTCGGTTTGGTTTGGTTGTTTTTCATTTTGTGCATGAGATAAAGATCCACCGTTTAATGTAGAACCGCTGCAAACCAAACAAGCTCGTGTTTTATGTCCTCCAGCATGATCAGCTAAATAGAAATCTGCCCACGAAGATCCACGAAATCTGCAAATTCAGGAGAAGCGCCGCTTCTTCTTTTTTCCTCCATGCAGGCTAAAAGCACCAACTTCAACAAAAGCAGGTTTGAACAGCTCTGCAGAGAGCACTCACCCCGGGATCAGATGGCAGCTGACAGCGAATGGAGAACATGACTCTGGGGAACAAATCTGAAAGAAACCAACGTTCTGATTCCTTCCTGCAAAGCAGAACCGACAAAAACAGCAACACCGGAACCAGCAGGAGCGAACAGGCGCAACACCGCATGCAGCTCCGATCTAAAGTTTGCATTTTCTTTTTTCCCAAGCAGATAAATCTACACTGAAAAAATAATGCAACTATTTCTGACATTCACTTAATCACATTTAGTAACTTTAAGACGATTCTTTTATATCCTACCCTGCTACATGAAAAATGCGTGGCAGTAAATGCCAGAAATGGTTGCATTATTTTTCAGCGGCTCCGATGAGGTCGCAGCGCAGATGTCGATGCGCGTAAAAGCAAAGCGTCGCAGACTGCGGCGCACTTTTCTGCGACTAAACGGACAAAACGAGACAGTGAGAAAAAGTCTCAGACAGTCGGTCTGCTTTAGCGCAGCCTCTGCTGCCAGCAGGGAGGCCAAGTCAAGCTCTGCAGCGCAACCAGAACAGGAACCGCAGAATTCAGCCGCAAATTACTGGTTTGGGAAAAATAGAGCGAAGTGCGCATTAATTAATAAAAAATAAAACGAAAACAGGCTGAATCCCATAAAGACTCCTATAGTAATCATTTTAAGTTATTGTTTGATAAACAGAGACAGCGGGAGTAAAGAAGAGACAAAAAAGGGAATTACGTTAGTTATGAATGTAACCTATTCTTTTATTTGTGCTTTTTTTTTTTTTTTGATTAAAACATTTTTTTTTCTTTTATAAGCGACAAACACGGTAATAATAAGAAGACCACAACAGTATCACAACCATGAAAAATAGTTTTAGAGGCGACAATTAAAAGACAGTCATTCCAAATAGGAGCCTGTTAGACCAGAAGGCAGAATTTCTTTTGTTAAACAAAACGGGATTTTTTTTTTTTACAGCGTTACTCCTTTTCTAAAACAAAAACAAAACCAGATTACAAAGATGATCTTTTTTTTTTCTTTGTTTTTGACTAATTGTACAAAATAATAAGAATCGTGAACGTCTGCGTTATTTGAACTGGCGATCACGTTTCCATGACAAATTTCACTGCGGAAAATCTTCCATAAAACGAGACATTTATGCTCAGTCTGTCGGAAAGCGCAAATATTAAATGATAAATAACAAATTATTTATAGAAAATGAAAACACCTCCAGCTTCAACAAGAGTGGCTGGAAAAAAAATGAAACAAACGAAATAATTGAACGACTCTAAGGGATTAACGCGCTTTTTAAAATGCGTAAAAATCTCGTTTAAAGGGAAATTTTCTGCAGTGATGGAGGATTTAGTCTGTCCTCCGTTTGCGACCAGCAGGCCTCTCAGAATATACAGCACAATACTGACTTCCTAAGGAACAGATTCTTTGGTCTATAAAAAGCGCGTCAGCAGTTTTTAAAACCAGGTAATGAATGAATGAAGGAGAACCTTCAGAGGCCACTCTGGAAAAAAAACACTTTCTGTGCTTTAATAAGAACATTCAATTAAAAAAGCAACAAAAAAAGTTCAGCTTTTTATCACTTTACCTCCGTTTCTGTTCTAGCCTGCATGACACTGACACATGCATGCATCATCATCATTATTATTATTATTATTATTATTATTATTATTATTATTATTATTATTATTAACCAATCTAACAATCTGTATTAAAAGAAAACTATTTTAAATATTTATTCTAATACATTCTATCAAAAAAAGACATGCCTCCGCTCTCATCATTCTCTCCGCTTCTTATCTCAGATCACATTGCACGTCACTGACTGACATTATTATACAGAGACAAACCCCGGACACTTAGAACACACATTATGTACACAGAAATTAAAAACTGTGGGAGGAGATGGGCAGAAGAACAACAGGAACATGAAGAAGAAACAACAATAATAATAATAATAATAATAATATTAAAAAAAATACCTGGAAATGTCAGTGCTGCTTTCTGTGAGTTTCTCAGTGCTGCTCTTTTTTTGTTTTGTTTTGCAGTTTCAGTCTCTTCTTTTTTTCTATAATAGGTAGTAGTTTATAATAATTTGTCATATTTTACATCTTAAATGTTCAGTGTTAAAAACGATCATGTTAGTGTTCCAATTATCACTCCTTCATGGATGGATGGATGGATGGATGGATGGATGGATGGATGGATGGATGGATGGATGGATGGATGGATGGATGGGGAGT